TTTTTGTAAACACTTATTGTGATTTTTGTAAACACTTATTGTGATTTTTGTAAACACTTATTGTGATTTTTGTAAACACTTATTGTGATTTTTGTGCATGGTGCTGGTAATAGTCTGACAGCTGCTGGGAGGAAGGATCTTTGATAACGCTCTTTTGTGCACCTTATTAACGTTGATCAATAACATTATAGACCTCAGTTAGTGCTTCTAAATTTAGCCTATAAATTTAGCAAGTGCTAATCCACTTATAAATTTTAAAATGAGCAAAAGCCCTAAAGCACTAATCAGGAAATTAGTTCCCCTATTAATGCTTTAGGGGAACTGTGCCCACCACTGCCTGTATGATTTTGAACACATTTAGACAAGAACACAAAGGGCGGTGACAGAAATGAAACGTTCAGAATGACTGCAGCTGCAGCTGTCCAAGTTCTTTCTTTCCAGCTGACAAAGATGTTTTCATTTGTCTGAAATCAGAGCTTCATCTGAGGGTTTTCCCTCTGCAGAGACTTCCTATAGGCTGTATGTAAACAATCGGCCCCCAGAAGGCCTCTTTGAAACAGTTTGGACAAAGCCACGCTCCATTACAGGTATTACAAAAGGAACAAAAAGTCAACGCCCACTACAAATCACCAACCAGAGGGATTAGTCCAATCCCTCTGTCTCCATGCTGTTGCTGATAAAAAGCTTATTACAGTCGAAATTGGTTAGTCATTCTACAGATTTGTTGTAACCGAGGGCCTAAAGGATGGGTTTGGAGTGTTGTGATCAGCGCTCAGTTTAAATTTAAACTCTTTCGTCCCCCAGTGATTGTTTGTGTGAGTGAAACTGTTGGGAGAAGAGGGGAAACAGAAGTCCAACGTGCATTTCCTGCAGACATATGCTTTGATTTCAGCCTGGCCAAACACAATGGGGAGGGAGACTGCCCTCGCTCAGCAACGACCCAACAGGAAGAAGCGTGTTCACCCGACAGGACAGAAGACATTCCAGTAAGACTTAACAAGAAAAAAAAGAGACACCAGAGAGCGTTTGTTTCTTCAAAGCACCTTTTTTTAATACAAATTATTCACATGAGTTCAAAATAATGTGTATTTACAAAATAATTTGTCAGAAACCACATGTCTCTCTCACACACACATTCCTTCTCACACAGACAAACTGTTAAAACAGTCACCTTTAACTGGTCCTTCCTCCAACCTGAAAACATTTGTCAGCTGCCATCTGTCTGTCTGTCTGTCTGACCCCCCCAACCTCCCTCCTCTTACACACACGCAGGGTTTACAGTCTTATCTGACTCCAACACCCCAAACCAACTGGCACACCCCTCCTTCGCTCGCACACACACACACGTATACACACACACACACGGAGAACTGCCAGCTGCGCTGCAGATACCGGTCTGATCTGCGGAGTCTGCGGTAGAAGTGGCACTTCCAGAGCTCGCTCGTGAAAACAAGACCAGGAGTGGCAAATTTACAAGTAACTCAGGAGCTCAGAGTTCAGCACGTTGCATGATGTCCACAGGAGAACCAAGAGAACTTCATAGTCCACCTTTCCCCCCCACCGCACCAACACGAAAAAAGGTTTCTGCTACTTTCTGAGTGATTCAACCCCCAAAACCTTCAGTCCTCTTCCATCCATGGAGTCAAAAGGGCTGAGGGGTGAGGGGAAAGAGGTGACACCCTGAAACTGGCCAAGCAGGCACGGCGGACAACAAAGTTTTGTTTCACCTGCTCCCTTCTGCATTGTTCACCCCCCTCCCCAGCCGTAGTCACACCTTCGTGGCCAGAGACTGAGCCTCCGTCTTCTGCGAGGACATCGAGTTGTGGGGGCTGGCGTGCAGGAACTTCTCCTGCCTGAGGAGGCACAGGCACTGGGACCTGAAGCGCTGGTCGAAGAAGGCGTACAGGAAGGGGTTGAGGCAGCTGTTGACGTAGGCCAGGCAGGTGGCGTAGGGATGAGCCAGCAGCAGGAAGCGCAGGAAGTCGCAGGTGACGGGGAACAGGTTCAGGTAGGACAGGGCGTCGGCACTCTTCACGATGTGGAAGGGCAGCCAGCAGGCGGCGAACACCACCACGAGCGTGGTGATGATCTTCAGCAGCCTCCTCTTGCGTTGGTCCTCTTTGCGCAGCGTGTTGAAGTGGCGGGTGACGGTGCAGCCGATGAAGCAGTAGCACACCATCATCGCCAAGAACGGAAGGAGGAAGCCGAGAGCCGAAGAGGAGAGGCTGAGGCCGGCGATCCACAGGTTCTCCTGATCCTTCTTGGTCACGACCGGGGCGAAGTCCATGGCACACGACGTGCGGTTGTTTTCGAAGTCCTGCTTGGTCGCGCGAAAGACGAGAGTCGGGGCGGCCAGGAGGCCGGAGAGCAGCCAGATGGCGGTCAGCGAGGCGTGAATGTGGCTCCGGGTGCGCAGCTGGGTGCTGGACAGGGAGTGGACGATGGCCAGGTACCGGTCGAAGCTCATGCAGGTGAGGCAGAAGACGCTGGCGTACATGTTGAGGAGCACCACGTAGCTGCTGATCTTGCACAGCACCACTCCGAAGGGCCAGTGGTAGTGCATGGCCGTGTAGACGGCCCACAGAGGCAGAGTCACCACGAAGGTCAGGTCGGCCAGGGCCAGGTTGCCGATGTAGATGTCGGCGGCTCGACGCTTGCCTTGAGCCCTCCACACGGTGAAGATGACCACCCCGTTTCCAGACAGGCCCAGGATGAAGATGAGCATGTAGAGCACCGGGATGACAGAGTAGGATGGGGCCCACTCTGAGTAGTCGCACATAGAGGAGTTCTCTGTCTCCTCGTACTCGTAGTAATCATAAGGACTCTCAGTTGTCGACATCTCCATTCTTCTTCTTCTCTTATCCTTAAGCTGAAGAAAAAAAATGAAATGTTTAGCTGGGGGGGAGATGGTTTCACAGCAGCTGACAGCACTGTAGTCTGTTGTGTGAAATCTGCACACCCTTATATAACCAGCTTGCCCCCTCCCATGTCAACCCCTCCCCTCCCACTGCCCTCCTCCTGTCAGCGCCACTTCCACTCGACTCTTCATTCATTTGGTTCGCTGCAAAACACAGAGGGAAGCAACGCTTAAACAAGTAAGATTAGAATGGAATTTTTTTTTTTTCACTGTGCAAACAAAAATATGTTTGTAAGGTTCAAGTAATTCAGAAACACACCTTTTTTAACTCATTCAAAAGCAGCTTAAAGTCCAGACAAGTTTCATGAAGTCATTTAGATCTCAGCTGAGACCTGAGCACTCACTTTTATGTTGTTCACAAAAGGAAACTGGTGACTTTCATTTGACTTTTTTGTTCTTTTGTTTTGTTTTGCCTGTGCATGTTCAAACATGCAGAAGCACCTAATGGAAAGAAACAAGAAAATATAAGGTTTTCTTTTTGTTGAAAACACTTCTATAGTTTTTGTTCTAACATAAACTACTGTCAAAACTCCAGTAACTATAGCGCATTTTGTTCAATTTTCTGTTTTTTTTAAGGCAAACAAACAAAAAACGTACAAATTAATGTGACATTACTTAGCATAAATGTTTAAAATGACAAAAACAAAAAAATCTAATGTAGAAAAACAAAATAAAACAAAACAAAAAAAAAACATGACTAATAATGTAACCTGAAATAACCCTCTGACTCCCTTTGGATCAAAATGACTCACGAGGCCTCAGAAACCTAAAACAGACATTTCTAGCTACAGTATATCTATTCTCATCCAGCCTCTGAGGACCATGAATCAAATATAGATTTTTCTGTACAAAAACTCCACATTTTACTATTTTTAGCCTTTTAAGCCCAAAGGGGTTTCCCTGAAGTTTGTCCATGATACAACAGGCCCAAATGTATTTCATTGCATTATACATGATATAAACATTTTTTTGAAAATATCATGAATAAAAATGCTAAAAAAAAACAACTCATTGAAACCATAAACGCTATTAATTATAGAAAAAAAAGTTAAATTCTGCGCCTAATACCAGAGTGGTGGAGCTTGGCTCGTTCTGTGCTTTTATTTTGAAGTCAAGTGTTGTGTTTACTTCAGGCCCTCTGGTGTGTGCAGGCAGCCAGGAGTCTCTGCTGGTAACGGTGGACGTCATGTCTGTGCATGCACAAAAAAATAAAGGTTAAACTGAAACAAAATGTAGTTTTGAACAAAATCTGTATTTCTAAATGTTTACCTAAAGGCGCCAGTGGCAAAGCTGTGCATGCATTCAGTTTGTAAAATAACAAAATGTTTTTAAGAATTAAAATCACTGGTATTGGCAAAAAGGATTTATACTCTTCTGCTGAACCCACAAATGTGTTTCCCTAACAAATTGCCAAAAATATTGTCACAACAAAGAAAACACAAATGACCGTACATTTTCTGCTAAGTTTATTAAGTTTAATAGTTTCATTTTCCAGATTTCTATAGCAGAGTTGCAATTTCTACACATGCAGCTAACAAAAAATGTATTTATGACTAATTATAAAATGCTCAGTTTGGCAGAAATAAGCTGAACCTGCTGGTCCGTCTGTCTGTTACCGTCCCAGTTCCTCATGAGGCCCTGTGGGAACATTAATTCCTCACCCCTGGTCTAAAACAACTGAAAAACTACACTTTTTCCCCAGCAGTTCAAGCAAACATAAAATAATTTTACACCTCATTACTTTTCCATCAGGCGACGGTTTGTTTTGCCACGATTTTCCCAGCTGAATAACATAATTGCGTGGTTCTGATCCCGAAACGACAACAGACAGAAAACAAACGGGGGATAAGGAAAGCGAGGACAACACGTGTTTTTCCTGGGTGATGAAAGGATGTTTTGAGTCTTACAGAGAGAGCAGTGTTTGTTTAAAAGACTGAACAACTCAGCTGATCGTCAGCAGAAACCTTCAGCAGCTCCGGTGCACACGTTTAGTGGAGCTCACAGAAGTTACGCAGCGACATGCCTGCGACAAAAAGCCCGCGGCATCAAGTCAGTTTAGTTTTTATGTTTGGGTTCACTTTTTGATTGTTTTTTTTTACACGAGATAGTCACAAATGTTTGTCAAATCCTTTTGTACAGCCAATTGCACAACAGCTCTTTCCCATTTGTTTTCTCAGGAGACCCATAGACTCTTTTAGTATCCCCATGGGGAAACATTTATTGTTATTATTTTTTTTATTCACCGTTCTTTAACCAGGCAACCAGGCAACATTAGCGAACAGCATTAGCGATGACACGACGTGAAAAATCTCATTATGTTTCTTCAAACCTAAAAGTTTTGATTTGTGCCGCGTCCAGTCTTAAATGGCTCCTGCGCTGAGTAGCTGTTCATTTTTTTTCCCCAAACTGAGATTGCTCAAACTGCTATCATCTATTGCAGGTAAGATACTGACTACTCATAACTACTTCTCTAAACCCCACTTCAGAACAAAAGTATAATTTTAATGGTTGAATGAATATAAAAATGACCTGAATTGTCACCAGACACCAGATCTCAAAAAAATGGAAATTAGCTTTTTTTCTGTCGCTCTTTTAGACGCAATTTTTACATTTTGAAAGCAAATGTTGCACATTTTCTATCGTATTCAACAACTTTTCAACAAAATTCAGATTGTATTATTAGCTTACAAAGTAGCATGCCATAAGTTGACTTTTTTAAACATTAAAGTCTCATTAAAGTGGAAAACCAACACTGTTCCTCTCTGCTTTTGTTTCTCCGCTCCAGATGGGACGCTTCAGTCTTCAGCCCCGACACGTCTCTCAGCAGAGTGGCAGCAGTGGCGCCGGGGCATCGACCTTTTAGACACAACTACTGTATCACTCAACGTCTAATCCCTTCCCCCCACCCCTTCCATCTTCCTCCTTCCTTCTCTTTAGTCATCTCCTTCTTCCTCCGATTATGAAACGAGGATTTATTCTCGTCCCCTCCACTTGCACCGTCATTTACCATCAGAGAGCTGTTTTTGACAGTTATTGTGATTCATGCTTGTTGTGTGTGAAAATCAGACGACTGTGACTAATTCTGAGTGTCTCCGCAAAAAAAAGCATGTCCAACTGAATCGTCCGCTCAGTTTCTTTTTCGACATATATGCTAGACATGTAGTTGGTGTTTCAGTGATGCTGAGATGTTCGAAGCTGTCGGGAGAAAAAGGTCACGTTTTTGTTTTTGAGAATGACAAGTTCCTGTAAGCCGACTGGAGAGCATCCATCACTTGGTTCAGCACGTCGGAGTCGCTTCTTTCACAACCTTCAGCTCTTGTTTTTCTTTCTAATGGCCCTCATGTGTGTGTCGTATTATTGTTCTCTCGTGTGTGGCCCCGTGTTGTAAACCACACACCATGCATGTCCATATTTTCCTTTTTTTTCTTTAACTACATTAACACATCATGCCCCCGCCTCTAGTCTTTTGAGTGGCAGTGATTCATCCGGGATGAGTCAGTTCATTTCCGGGTTCTGAGAACATGAACAGAAACAGAGACAAAGAATTTTAAAGGCTTTCATCTTCTGTCACGATCGTGTTTTCACGTTTACAGCCCGGTTTTTGGGTACACTAAAAGAGGACAAGGTGTGTGTTCTTGTTATTTAAGGTGTTTGTGTCGGCTGTTGGGGGTCTGATGGTTGTTTGATGTGTGTGCTAAGCTGTCAGACCACATGGCTCAGACCCCTGCACCCCCCCATCAAAGCAATCTAAACAACCAGAGAATTCACGATGCAGCTCGTCTTGTATAAACACCTGAAGGCCGGGCTGATAAACCGATCCTCGCGGCAAATATTTTAACGTTATCTGTCGCATTTCAACAAGCTGCTGTTCACTTTGAATGATCAGATCCTGTCAGAGCTAACACCCCCAGCAGGCCCAGAAAGTTCGGACCCATTTGGGCGTCATTACCCGTCCCACCATCTCCCCCTGAAAGTGATTGACACCGCGTTGTTAGAAACACCCGACTCCAGGCTCAGAGAGGTTTGGACACTTGTTCAGCACAGACAACCGTAGTTTCAGCTGGTGTTTTAAATTCATCCGTATCACTGAAAGGTTAAAGAGAGGTTTTCAGTTTTCTTCTGCAGCTCCATTCATTTATTTGCTTAATCTGCAAACTGCAGGAGCCACATAAAGAAAGAAAAATAAAGTTTATCAGCCTCCTTCTTCTGGATGCAGCTGATGTTTTCAGCACGTCTGTGTGAAACGGAGACAAACAGGTTGTTTCAAACCGTGTGAACTTCTCAAACTGGATTTAAAAGTGTTCGAGTCTTTCATCCCTCACGTGTAACGTAAACGCTTTTATAGGTTTTAATGACTCTCTGGTTTTTGAAACACAAGCTGTCGGTGGAGTTTCAAGGTTAGGACACACACACACACACACACACACACACACACACACACACACACACACACACACACACA